CCTCAGCGGCCTCCGCGATGGAGAAGTACCATGTCCTGCAGGTGATCGGCGAGGGCTCCTTCGGGCGCGTGTACAAGGGGCGTCGGAGGCACAGCGCTCAGGTGAGGGGCGAGGCACGGGGCGGGGACCCTGGCCTCCGTTCTGCGGCGCCGGGGACTCACCCGTGCTCTCCAGGCTGACCTCAAAGCAGGGCCAGCACTAAGGCGGATCCTGTGAAACCTCATGGACAAACACCCCACAGCCAGTGCTTTACTGTACTTGGGGTGAATGGGTTCTCCTTATGTCAAGTTGAAGCTCCTCTGTTTCAAGTTGTAGTCCATGTGTCATTGTCCCACATGCTTCAGCCCCCTCGCCATCCCAGTGGCCTCAGCTATGCCCACTCCAGCCTGCCGATGTCTTTGTGGGCTAAAACTGTCCACCATATTGCCAGCATGGTTTAACACGTTCCAGATAAAGGCCAATAATCAATTCCCTCCAACTCGTCCCTGTTGATACAGCCCAGGGTGCTGCTGGTGCTCCTCACAGCCAGCACACGCTGCTGGCTCACGTCAGGCTTGCTGTCCACCAGCATCTCTAGGCGTTGTCCCTTGTTTCTGGCAGTCCTAGTTTTCTCTGCGCTCACTGATTAAATTTCATTGCTTTAAACATCAGTGTTCAAAGCACTGCGAGCACCTGTACGGATGTGCAAGTGCCCCAGCTCCAAGGGATCCAGTGGACAAATGTCTTGTTCACTGTGCTCAGATGGAAAACGTGGAGCCTGGTTTCGGCTAAATGTGGCCTCTGCCAGTGTGGGTGGGAGCCTGGTCTGATCCCAGCTTTGCCTGCTTTGAAAGGTGGTGGCCTTGAAGTTCATCCCCAAGCTGGGGCGGTCTGAAAAGGAGCTGAAGAACCTGCAGCGGGAAATTGAGATCATGAGAGGCCTCCATCACCCCAACATCATCCAGATGCTTGACAGCTTTGAGACTGACAAGGAGGTGCACGGAACTACTTGGGGCAGATGCTTTTTCTTGTCTGGGGCAGGGGAACAAGGGCTGGTCCCTGCTGTCATTGGGACTTCTTTCTCAGGAAATGGTGGTGACGCCCTCCCGGGGCCTGGTTAGTGTTTTTCAGAGGCCTTCAGGATATGCTGTGTGGGGAGCCAGCACCCATTTGGGCTGTGTGGGGTGCAGAGGTGAAGGAGCTGGGTGGGGGTTGTGTGATGCAAGAGGAGTGGTTTGGGATCACAGGATAGTCACAGCTGACTCTTCAGTCACCTCATCAGTCTCTTCAGAGACTGACTTTTGACTGATCTAAACTCATGGAGAGACTACGATGAGAAAAGATGGAAGACTGTGCTATGGGACGTGGGGGTGTGATGTAACTGGGCAGCAGGTCCAAAACAAGCTCAAGGGAGCAATCCTACCCACTGGGCTTGGAAGTACCATTCCAGGCTCGTCCTTCTCTCTTCCCCGGTTTCTGCTGGCTGTCCGAGCTAAGGACAGGCACGAGGCCTCTGCTACGTGCCAGGCCCTTCCTGCAGCACAGCCACAGGGGCTCTGTCCCACTCCAGATCCCAGCCCAAGCTGGTGGGCTGTGCATGATGGTACCCCAGCACCTCCCTCGGATTTCCTACCCTGCACTGTCCCAGTGCCCTGGACATGGTGGGGAAGTGGCTGGGTGAGTGCCCGATCTTGCCACGCTGCTCTTCCCTTCAGGTGGTGGTGGTGACTGACTATGCAGAGGGAGAGCTCTTCCGGATCCTGGAGGACGATGGGAGTTTGCCCGAGGACCAGGTGACTGTGGTGGCGGTGGCCACGCAGTGTTTGCTGCAGGGTGGGGTGAACAGAATTTGTCTGCCCATTGGCAGCAAGTCTCTGGGGAGACCAGGAGGGTGAGGGTGCCTCTGGCACTTTACCTGGCAGAGCTCCTGAAGGGGATGGAGAGGGAGCCAAGTTGCTCTGGGGGACGGTGGGGTTCATTAGGGACCTCAGTTTCCCTCTTCCCTCTCCGAGGACCATGGCACCAGGCTGCTGTCTCGGCCACTGGCCCGCTCCAAGGAACTGCTGGCCCACGGCTGGCGTGGGTCCCTGCTCCAAACAGGGCAAGAGCGGTAGTGGGGGCACTGGGGAGCCAGGGCACAAGGGACGCCATGGTTGTGCCAGTGGTGGCACCGTGGGACACGGGGTGAGGCTCCCGTGTCTCTGGCAGGTTCAGACCATAGCCGCCCAACTGGTCTCCGCTCTCTATTACCTGCACTCCCACCGCATCCTGCACCGCGACCTGAAACCCCAAAACATCCTGCTCGGCAAAGATGGCGTCGTCAAGCTCTGTGACTTCGGGTGGGTGCTGGGGCACCCTTGGGGCAGCCAAAGGGTGTCCTGGGTGCTGTAGAGGGGGTGAGGGGAGTGTGGAAGGGGACCTGGATTAGCGGTGGAGCAGGGGTAGGGGATTTTGGACTCCAGAAGGAAGAGGTGTTGGGAAACTCATGGGATTCTTCTCCCTGGGAGCTGCAGTGGGTGTTCCAGCCTGACCTGGCCATCTGTGCTTCGCTCTGAGCAGGTTTGCCCGTGCCATGAGCATCCACACCATGGTGCTGACCTCCATCAAGGGCACCCCACTGTACATGGCCCCTGAGCTGGTGGAGGAGCGGCCGTATGACCACACGGCAGACCTGTGGTCTCTGGGCTGCATCCTGTATGAGCTGTTCGTGGGCACTCCTCCCTTCTACACCAGCAGCATCTTCCAGCTTGCCAGGCTTATTGTCAAGGACTCTGTCAAATGGCCTGCAGCCATAAGCCCAGTCTTCAAGGTAAGGGTGAAGGGCCCTTTCTGTGGTGTCAATGTGGTAGCAGCTTTGGCCTTGCCTTCTGTCCTGGTGGGTCACTCTTAGGTTTAATTTCCCCTAACAGGGGTTTCAGAAGATAGAAAAGGAAGGAATGGGAGCTGGGCCTCCTGGGAGGGGGACCCTAGTCGCTGCTGTCCATAAGCTGGGAAACCAGGGCCGACAGCAGAGGAACAGCTTACTGGGCTGGGAAGGGAAGTGTCTCATCTGCTGTAAGGACTAGAGCTACTCCTTTCCCTGAGCCAGGCAGAGAACATACGCCTCCCCCTCACTGGGGCAGACTGGTGGGTAGACTGTTCTCACTGGCGGGTGCTGAGTGTGTGTTGGTGACCTTGGTGCTGTGTTGCCCTGTAGAGCTTCCTGCAGGGACTACTCACGAAGGACCCCCGCGAGCGCCTGTCATGGCCAGAGCTGCTCTCTCACCCCTTCATTGCTGGACGGGTTACTGGTGAGTACCAGCTCTTTCTCCAGCCCTGGTCGGGTCCCTTTCCTCCTCCTGCTGCCTGGAGGCTGGGAGGACCACCCTGCCCTTCAGTTTTTACTGCTCTGGTCTTTGCCTCCTTCCTCGGCCTTCTACAAGCACTGATCCCTAGCTCCTGCACCTGGGCTTGGTTTGGGTCCCCTGGGATTCCCCTGGGATCCCAGAGCCGATCACTCTCCCTGTGTCCCAGGGGAGAGCTGCTAATGAAGCTCTGCCCTTGCTTCCCCAGTGATTGATGACACTGAAGAGCATGGGATCTCAAACCCATTCCCCACCAAGCTCTCTCCAGAGCTGCAGGCCCTGAAGGATCAGCAAGCCCATTCCATGGCCCCCAGGAGCAGCCAGTCCAGGATCCTGAGAAAGGCCTGGCAGAAGATGGCTGAGGAGGCACAGAAAAAGGTGGAGGAAAGTGTGGGATTCCCCTGGTTGTGTCCCACAGTCAGGGCAAAGGAGGGGCAATGAAATGGGACCTGAGGGGTGAAACAGAAGGTGTGTGGGTCAGGCTGGGGCATTAGCCACGTACAAGGCAAGACATGGGGTCCTCAGGGTGGTGGACTCTAGGGGACTTGTCTGGCTGTCTAAGTAACCGTGCCCTTCCCAAACGTCTGTGCCACTACCCAGGAGCAACTGAAGGCAGGCAATAGATCAGCGAAGGACTCCGGCCAAGGATGCCCAGGGCATAGACCCAGAGCAGTGCTGGGGAAGGCAGCCCTTGGAGAGAGGGGGCCACTGGCTGCTTCCAACGAGAAGAACCCCAGTGTCCTGCAGGGAAGGAGCAGCGTGGCAGAGCGGGACCTGGAGGAGCCTCCTCCTGAGCCACGGTGAGGGAGAGCCGAGGCTGGCACAGGAGGAAGGGGGAAGGCAGGGTCCTTCACTGACTGCACAGTTTCCTTGCCAGGGAGCACAGCGTCAGTCGGGATTGTGAGCAGCAGTGTCCTGGAGCAGGTGGCCCGCCACAGCCTGGTGCTGGCCAGGCAGAGCCCCGGGGCAGGCGCAGCATTGAGACCGTGGACCTGGAGAGTGAGGTAGGACCGTGTCTTTTGTTGAGGATGGCAGGGCCCAGTCTCCAGGGGCTGGTACAGAGACCCTGGGGCAGGTAGGATCTGTGGCAGTAGTCCTCTCCTCCGTGGCCAGGAGATGGAGAGCGATGAGGAGTGGCAGCACTTGATGGAGGCCACTGAGCCCTCAGCCATGCATCTGAGCATCCCGCTGAGCCTCCTGAGGGACCCAGCCTTCCAGCGCCGTGTCCAGGCCCGCCTGGCAGACTCTGCTCAGCAGGTGAGTGATGGCTGGCCCAGGCAACTACAGCTGGGGACAGATGGTGCCTTCTTCCTCAGGACTGCATTGGGAGCACTGGGAGAGCCCTCAGGCCAGCCAGCAAGAAGATCCTCTGCCTCTGCAGGAGCCAGAGCTGTCTCATGCACTTAGCTTACTGTCTGCTCCCCTGCTGTCCCCTGCCTGAATGGTCCAAAGGGCTGACGCATGGTTGATGGAGAGGCCAAAACCACTGCCGGCTGTCAGCTTTTCTGGTTTATGTGTCCAGATGCTGGAAGGGATGCTGGAGGGAGCCTCCCGTCTCCATCCCGTGCTCCGTGTCATGGGCAACCTCCTGGCGAGCCGATGTGACTCTGGGCTGTTGGGCCACTTCTGCCAAGAGCTGAGTGTGCCTCTGTCGCTGCTGCATCTAGCCAAGCAGATCCTGGAGAGTGGTAGCACCAAGCAGGTGGGTGTAGGACCCCAGAGAAATTTGGGCTCCTTCCAGCTCTACAGAGTGCTGGTACTGAGGAGGCCCTGTTGTCCTGCTGGGGCTGGCTCACAGGATCAGTGCCTCTTGTAGGCACCCTTGAGAAGGGGGAACTCCTGGCAAGGAAAGATCCCACCACGGTGGTGTTCGGGTGGCCAGCAAACAATCCCCACTTGCTGTTTCTTTCTGGATCCTGCAGCAGCCCTGGTGTATCACGGTGCTGACGGACCTCCTCATGGTGACCACAGTTTATTTCAGCAGTGAATGGAGCCTGGAGGAGAGTGGGCAAAAGGACAGGTAGGGACAACCCTCTGTGCTCTCAGGTCTCTGCTGGCCTTGGCAGAGAGGGGCCTCTCAGCAGAGTTTGGGGACTGGGCAGTGGGTAAGAGGGTGGTGTTCAGACTCCGTGGCTGGAGCTGTCTCCATGAGAAACATCATGGATGAAGTGCTTCACCCTGTATTGCTGTGCTCACAGAGGAGCATCTTCTGTGAGGGGGCTAATTGAGGGGGCCCAGCTGACCAGAGCCCGGTTGTGCTGCCAGCCGACAGCGGCTCACAGGGCTAGTGCATGCTGCCTGCTCCATTAGCCAGGTCCAAATGGGCCTGGCCACATCCTGTCCTCACAGCCAAGGGCTGTGTTCCTCTGCTCTCCTCTGCCTCTGCTGCCTCCCCCAGCCTGCAGGCCTTCGGAGAGAGTGCTGGCTGCTTCCTGGCGCTGCTGCCAGAGCTGCTGGCTCAGCCAGCTGACAGCGAGATGAGACTCTGCCAGCAAAGCCTCCTGGTAAGGGTGCCCCTGTCACCCTCTTGGACAGAACCAGTGGGGCTGAGGGGGCGTGCCATGGGGAGCACAGGCTGAGGACCCTGCTCTCACCTGTGGGGTCTGATGCATGCTGCTCCGGGCAGGCTGTTGCACGCACTGGGGTTTTGGGGGGGATCACATGAAGAAAAGGAGGTCTCTGAGGGCGTACCTTGCCTGGCTGTGCCTCCACGTGTACTGCTCCTTCAGCCAGCATGCAGCCACATGTGGCTCCCGCACAGTAACCTGGCTGGAGAGGATACCTGGAGGTCTGTGAAGCTCCAGCACATGAGTCCTTCTCCCACCTCTGCTGTCCAAGCCCCCAGCATCCTCCCCATTTGTCCTTCTCTCCCGTCCCACTCTCAGTATGGATCAATGGCAACCCCTGTGTTTCCCCCAGTGCTTCACCCTGCTCTGTGAGAGCCTGGATGCGACATACCCCTCTGTTGCTGCCCCCTTCTATGCCAGCCTGCGAGAGGAGCATCAGCCCCTGCTGCACAGACTCCTTCAGGGATCCACCTCAGAGCAGCCTGCTCTGCGAGGTACCAGTGGTAGCAGCTCGCCACCTCCTCCTGTGGCTTCCCCTCTCCCTCCTGCCCTTGGGTTCCCTCAGAGCACTGACTGCTCTTGCAGTGCTGTTGGCCAGAGGACATGGCTGAAGCTATATGCCCAGACCCCTGCTAACCAGGGTTCTCGTCTCCCTCAATCCCAGATCTCATTCTTGTGTCACAGTCCTGACTTCTCCTCTCTTGCACTCCAACCCCATCCTGCTGCCCCTCAGCATCCATCACTCTTAGCACATGTCTTCTGAGCTCTGTCCCTGGGCAGGTCCAGCGATGAAGACCAAGTCAGCCCGTGACCAGAGCCCATGTGTGGCAGACTTCTTCATGGCTGCACTGGCTGCTGCCTGCAGCATCCCGCTGGAGAGGAGCGGCTGTCAGGAAGCCAAGCTGCAGGTCAGGCCAGCTCTCTTTGCGGGGCAAGGAGGTGTGTTCCCCACAGGGGCAGCAGCCCTGCCCAGGAGGATCTCTTTTTCAGCAGCAGACTGGAGGGCTTTGGTGGCTGCAGAGCTGGCATTTGCAAGCTGTTCCTCGCCAGCCCACAGCTGAGCTTTAGGAGTCTAAGGACTCCTAGATCGATTAAGAGACTCACACATAGCATCTGAACCATGGGATGGGCTATGTAAAGAACTAGACAATGCAGGGAAAGCATGAAGAATTCTTACCTGACAATGATATGAACTGTAGGAATTCTGAAACTGAATGGACAGTAAAGAAGAGGAAAAACAAAACTACAGGTTTTTTAACTCTGAATCAGGAAGGAGGGAAGCAGAGGAGGAATCTCACCTTGCTCTCCTCAGCTCTGGGACTGTGCATCAAAGCTATGCTGGGTCATTGTAGATGGGCATCCCTTTGTGAACACAGGCAACATGTAGGAAGCAGATGCCTTCTTTTATTAATTTGTTGCTAGCATTAAAGTCCTTAAGTCTGTGCAGTGCTTCGGGTGCCTAGGGTGCAAAGCAGGCTGATTTCTGCAGGTTGCTCAGGAGGTAGCTGCAAAGCTTATGGAGAGAGAGAGCCATCAGCTTGGGAGACTGCTGGGGAGACTGGAGCACTCAAGTTGCTCCTTGAATGTGCTGAAGGTAATGGCCCTCTCCGTTGATCTGGCTGTGCCCAGAGGTACCTGGACCTTTGGTCTGGGGTTAGGACTGTGGGGAAGGGGGAGCTGAGGGCTCAACCCTCAATGACTCCCATCTCCTTGTTGTCATTTGTTGGATAAATGAGCCCGCGGTAGCCGTGGGGTGGGGCTGGGATGGGCTTGGTCACTGTGTGTCTGTCCCACAGCCTGGTATTCACCTCTCCTCTCTGCCTAACAGATCCTCTATGCTGGCTGCCATGCCAGCCTAAGCCTGTGCCAACACCTAGGAAAGAGCCAGCAATTGTGGGATTCTCTCATGCAGCTCTCGAAGGGCAAGGTAGGACTGACGAGAGCCCCAGTGGTGGGGTAGGAGTGTGGGCAAGCAGGACACATTCCTCTGAGCGCTGCTCAGACCAAGCTGGGGAATGTGTGGGGAGAATGGGGGGGGTGCAGGTCTCTTCCAGAAATAGCCCCTCCTCCCCAGCCAGCCTTGCTGTCCCCTTGTGACTCCTGCTCCTTTGGCAGGTCCCCATGGTAGAGGTGGCCCAGGGGACAACCTGCGAGGCCTCTCTATACCTGCTGGCCCTGCTCACCGTGCAGCTCCAGGTCTCTCCTCCCAGGTAAGCACCTGCTTTTACCCACTGCTGGGAGAGGAAGCATGCCCTGCCCTGAAAGGCCTCTGTGCTGCACCCTGCCCAGAGCCAGGCTCCTGCTCCCACTGGATCCCTCTGATCCAGACGCTCCAGCAGAGCATTGGGCAGCGAGGGTGGGTGCTGGGGAGACAGTGAGAATCCAGTTTGGACAAGGAGGTACAGTGAACCAGGGTCCCCCTCCTGCACGTTGTCTGCTTCCCAGCCCTGGGGGTATTTGGGTGCTGCTGCTCTGTGGCACATGAAGCTGTGGGAGCACAGTGTTGTTCCCCCGGTGTTACATGAAAGGGAAAGGGGGTA